TCAAAAGGTATCGTTCATTTTTTTTTTCTATCTAACTTATTTATGATGTTCTTTAGAAGTAGATTATTTTTTTTCTGATTCCTTTTTCCTCGAATTCAGAAGATTAAAGCAACAATATGTCCACCTTCAATCTAGCTTTGCGACTTACATGTTTCTGATTTCAAATTGTCTTCAAGCGTCAAAATCAATTGTTATTATACATTTTTTTTTTATCCATTTGTACATTTTCGATATTGTTTAGTAGAAAATTAGTTATTTTTTTCATTCTTTATTATCCCTATTTTCTAAAACTCATAAGCATTGAAACAACAATCTATTGACTTTCAATCCATGTTGGAAGTTTAAAGGTATCTTATTTCAGATTTTTTTGAAGCATCCAAATTTAGATGGTAACTTATTGGTTTCTGATTTTTTTTTAATTAGAAGAAAATCATACTTTCTTTCTGATTGTGTAATATAACATTTTGATTTGATTTATGTTTTTTTACTATTATTTGTAAATGATAGAGGTCTGCTACTTGAGTTTTAAGAGAATGATGATTGTTGTCACAGCCCCGACCGATGACAAACACACCCGGGTTGTGCGCCGATGTCGTGGCTCACAGATATTGATTACGTTAAACAATACACAAAAATATATAACATAAATATCACTTCTATTATGGAATAAATATTACATCAAATTATGTTTTTATAGTACCATGAATTTAAATACAAATGGTGCATTGACAATTAGGAATAACAATAAACGACGATGATAATAATAATAATAATAATAATAATAATAATAATAATAATAATAATAATAATAATAATAATAATAATAACATCAACATCATCGCTTCTAGTGATCCCACATATGTTTCCCCTAATAATATTTCTGACTTTTACTTTCCTGAGAATACATATGATGTTGAAAATGTCAACATAACGTTTGTGAATTCACAAATTTGAAATGTTATAACTCGAAAATATCTTTTTATTCTAACTATATTTAGTTGTATATAAGTATTTTTAATTATGATGTTAGGGTACCTTTATTTTAAAAGTAGTATTCTTTTATAATCTAAGTGTTATTTCCATTTACTTATCAACCTTATTTAATGTTTTGCAATATATAAGTACATTTTAACTTATATATTATTATCTTTTTTTGGCGTTTCTTAAAGCAAAGTTACAATGAGTTCCCATAATCGATTTTATGACTAGAGATTTGCCCCACACGACGTTTCATCGGACGATGTAAAGATTAGATAGTTATCACTCGCATGGCTCGTCCATCAAGGTTGTAACTAGTAGTAACCACAAGTGGGGGTGTCAACTCATATAGATCTATACATAGCTCTCTCGCTCGCTTAAGATTTAACGATTATAGAGCGGGATCTTAGCTAAATAATTAACTAAGATGAGTGAATAAATCTCACTTTACAACCGCATGAATAGCCCTTAAGATTTGTAATTCCCATTGTTTTATTAGATCAACTTTATTTGGTAAGGTTAACTTTATTATCATTAATTATCTTTGTAAAGATTTAGAGAAATAACAAAATGTAATATTTTCCATATTAGAGTGTCCACTATGTATATTATTATAATATATAGGCAAAGTACGATAGATAATAATATCTCCTATATTATTTGGGTAGAGTAAAGATATGGAATAATATTTATTATATTATTTGGGCAGAGTAATAATATCGTATAATATTTATTATTATATTTGGACGGAGTAACGACATAATATAATATATTAGTTTATAACCTGTGGGAACCACGGTTACAAAAGTAATTAAAATTTTATTTTAAAAATTCAAATTTGTTAATCTATTATTTTAAATAAATTATCAATTAAGAGATATTTTTATTAGTTATGTAAACTTATATTCGTTGATTCAAATAAATATGTGAAATTAATTTTCAATTTATATTAGATAATTTTTATTTGTGAATTAATGTAAACAATAATATAAAATTTAAAATGGAAAATAAAAAATAAATAGATTGACAAGTAACATCATATTAATTAGGAGGTCTAATAAATTTAAAGTGGAGAGTTAATTGATTGACAAGTGACATCACATTAATTAGGATGTCTAATATGATGACACATGGCAAAGCAACTACTCTTTTATTAGTATAAGGATACTATATTATTTGGGCAGAGTAACAACAGAGTATAATATCTACTATATTATTTGGGCAAAATAACGATATGGTATAATATTTATTATATTATTTGGATAGAATAACGACATAGTATAATATTTAATATATTATTTGGTGCAGAGTAACGATAAGGTAAATTTTTTAATATATTAATTTGAGAGAGTAATGGCAACTAATTGTATGTAACAAAAGTTGATTAACATAACTAATGATAATCCCAATATATAGTAAATGATAATTACATAAATAAATTATTATTATAATAGACATGATAATCCCGTTCAGTGTATAATAAAATAGTAAATAGATGTGATCATATAGGGATGTCAACGAGGATAAACGGGACGGGGAGTGCATCCACCGTCCCCCGAAATAAAAAAGTTAAAAACATGGTTTTTTGTATCTGACTGGGCCAACAATGTCTGACCCACTCATACCAAAAAAAACTTGTTGACTGAATCTAATTGAAATCCATTCCATCATTGCCTCTGAACCAGCACCACCCTCATCCTCCTTCCTCACAAATGTTGATTTAATCCCTAGAAATGGAAGAAGAAACATGGACATAGGCAGCAAACGAGGTGGTCCAGTAGAGGATTAGCAAAATGAAATATGAAAAGGAAAGGAAGGGTGGAGCAGATTAGGCATACAGCAGGTGTGTAACATCCTGATGTTCAGGTACTTCTAAATTTATCCCCTTTAAGTTTTTTATATGTTAATTTGATCCCTAACTCTTATTATGCCTTGAAGCCCTAGTGGCATTTCTGTAATATGGGCAGGAGGAGTACGCTAAGCGTACATGTGTGTACGTTGAGCGTACTAGGGCGCGCCCTAGTATGTTGGGCATACACTTATGTACGTTGGATGTACTCATGTCAGGAGGAAACCCTAAATTTAGGGTTTGAAGGGTATTTAAGCATCATTATGGCTCATTTCCTTTCCACCTTTCAGCCTCCACTCCCTCGGGATGTTTTTGCAAACCATATCTTTGAGTGTGTATTTTGGAGCTCAAGTGTGTGCTTTTTGGTGTGTTCTTGGTGTGCTAGAGGAAGAAGAAAGTTCTTAGAGAAGTCTTGGTGAGGGAGCAACTTTTGGATCTAGGATTCTTACCTTCTTGACAAGCTCTAGAAGGTATAAAGCTTTAATCTTGCCTTGTTTTCTTTTAGATATTGTCATGAGGAAATTGTGTGTTCTTAGTACCCTTTTCTTGGTGTTAATGAGTATGAGCTACTCTAAGACCAAAGGACATGTCCTTTCTGAAGAAATAAGGTGCTATGAATCATAAAAATGCTATCTTGGCTCATTTGGTGCATGTATGCTAGTTGTAGAGGTCTTTAGTGATTAAGACAAACTAGAATTTTGGTGTTGGGCCTTATTAAGACATACAAAACCATAAAGTTGGAAACTTTATGGTTTGGAACACCTTTTTAGACCTGGATCTGAAAGTTTGACGTTGGACTGAATGAGATAAGCTCTTAATCAAAGTCTTGCATGGCCACCACATACGCTGGCGTAGGTTGTCAGAGGCGCAATTCCGGGTCAATGTGGAGTGTGATGGGCATACAACTGGGTACACCCGACCCGTATACTCAGTCAGTTGGGTTTAAGATTTTGGGCTTCGAATTTTGGGCCACCTTTTGGGCTTGAATGATTAGGCCCTTATTGGACTATTTAAGTATAAGTGTGTTGAGCTAAGTGAAGAGTTAGACCTTAGGATAAGGCCCAAGAAGGAGTTTGGGCACAGTTTGGAAAATTAGGCCAATTATGGGCCTTAAGTGATTATTTATTTTTGAGCCTTTTTGAATTGAGATTTGGGTCTGGGTCTTAGCCCAACTATGGAAAGGTTAAAGTGGCCATTTACCCTAAGTATGGATTATCAGTCAAGGATTGTAATCCAATTATTAATTGGATGTTTATTTTGTTGTGATAGCGTGGGGGGGTTTTGTGAGCCAACAACCAGAGACTTTTAGTGTGATTTGACAGTGTGATGTGAGTTGTCCACACTATAATTTCATGTCGAAGGCACCAATGTTTACCCATTGGATTGATATCGTGTTATGCATGCTATTGTATTGTTATGATCTATTAGATCGGTATCTTGGTAGATAGGATGTCCCTATGCCTAGTGATTTGTAGATTTGTTTGACTGGTTGTAGATTGTTATATGATTATCTGTTATATGTGCACATGTTTGATTGGTGGCTGAGGCTTCTCTGCTTTGTGCGTAAGCCAACAAGATGGGGCATTCCAACCCGATTGTTGATTGGGCCTGAGAGTATTCCATCTCGAGGATGATTGGACCCATAGTATGTTGGCATTCCAACCTCGTGATTGAGGGGCCCGAGGGTATTCCAACCCGATGGTTGATTGGACCCATAGTATATTGGCATTCTAATCTAGGGTATTCCATCCTGAGGATGACTGAACTCTATGATTGACTGGGTCAAGGGTATTCCAACCCGATGGTTGATTGGGCCCATAATATGTTGTTTCTATATGTGTTATTGTTTGTGTGTCGGTATTTTGGGGGAGTTCACTAAGCTTTGAGCTTACAATTTTGGATTATGTTTCAGGTACCTCAAGGGATCGCGGGAAGGCGAAGGTGTGATCGTGCACCTCCTCATATTGTTTTTGTGATTTTGGGCAAACTCATATTAAACATGTTTTCGAAACTATTTTGTAAACAATGATGATTTTGGGTTTGTTTAAAAAGTTTAAATTTCTCATGAATTTTACGGTTGTTACAAGGTGGGGGTGGTTATGTGGTGTTCGATTGAGACAAGAAGGAAGGAAATCGTCCGGTGATGGTAGATTTGTCGAGGAAGTTGAAGTTATCACGACCGGTGATCCTCTGGTCTCATTGTCCTTGTCGCCGAAAGCAAATCGAGTAATGTAGGAGGAAGCAGAGGCGGAAATTGGTGGTTATTGTCGACAACAGGGGTGGCAAGGGGGCGGCTCCGGCAACTCCTCTTGCTTCTTCTTTCGCGACAAAACGCGAAGGAAATGGGTGTTTGGGTGTGGCTTCCGCGTGTGCTCCGGTCAACAGGAAGAAGAGGTGCAAGAGCTTGTTGCCTCTTTGATCTTGCCGGAAAAAGAAAACAACCACCACCTGTGGTGTGTTTCTTGATAGCAAGGAAAAATAAAAGAAATTGAAAAAGGAAGGATTGTATAGAGCACTATTATTATTATTATTATTATTATTATTATTATTATCTATCACTAGAAGATAAAATGGTTATTTTGTATCAGTCATCCCATTAAGTCAAATATACAATTAAACATGGTTTTTTACTCGATCTGAATTTATTACTCGGATAGCAACTATCAAACATGACCTAAGTTAATTCCCGGATTTTGTGTTACTCAACATTCAAGACCTTGTTAAAATAAGAGATATCATATCAGTTTTTGTAACAAGAAACTCCTTCACCAATCATTTATTTAACAAGCATCATGAAGATTTCTACATCATCTATTTTCATACTCATTTCTCGTTTTATAAACAAGAAAATATCATCTTTGTGCCTTTCTACAAGTAATTTTACACGCCAACATTTTCTATTAATTTTGGAATTCACGGGAAACCATTAACAGAAAACCCTCCATCAACAAGAATCGTTTGGCCAGTGATATAAGAAGCAGCAGGCATACAAAGGAACGCCACCATTGATGACACTTCATTCGCTTCAGCAATGCGTTTCAAAGGTGTTTTTGACACCAATGTATTTATAAACTCGTCATGATTATTAAACAACTACACAACACAAAATAAATTCTTACGATAGGATCAAAAAATGTCAATAAATTAAATATAACAATTAAAAAGAAGGCTAGGATTGAGTTATATTACACGTTCCACAAGTGGGGTCCTAGTGCACCCTGGAGCTACACTATTACTCCGAATATTATCTTTAGCCCATTCACAAGCTAAATTCTTTGCAAGTTGATTCATAGCAGCTATGAACAGAAAATGGAAGCTTAAAATTTCTTGTAACACCAAATACAATCAGGAAAAAGAAAACCATATTACCTTTAGTGAGGCCGTAGATAGATGTGTAATTAACATGAAGAGAACCTGCAACAGAGGAAATGAACACGATGCTTCCAAATCCAGAAGCTTTTAAAAGAGGATGTGAAAGTTGAGAGATATGGTAACATGATTCCAAATTGGTAGCCATGATCAGGGAATACTCTTCTGCAGTATACTCCAAATTAGGTTTCACTATGTTGGTCCCAACGTTGTTTATCTACAGTTTTGGAAGTATGTATAATCAATTGTAAGAATACAAATTAGTAACACAAGAATGAACGTGTTTGTTTCAATATATGATGAAACATGATGTTTGAAGAATTCCCCAAATTATCGGTGAAATAAAATCAAAACAACTTACTAGAATGTTGAGCTTTCCATTGAAGATAGAGGAGACTTTTTCTAGAAGCTGTTCGCGTTGAGGACGAGAAGCTGCATCGCAGACGGATCCGGTGACGGTGAAGCCCTTGGAAGACCATTCTTGTAAGCGGTGGTTGAGCTCAGACTCGTTGCGAGAGCAGGTGTGAACCGCTGCCCCTAACTCCGCCAGTTCCTCCACCACAGCGTAGCCGATTCCATGTGTGCCACCGGTAACGAGAGCCGTCATTCCGGCGAGAGACCCATCTGGAGTTTCTAGTTTCTGAACTGCTCTCCGCCGCTGCCACCGTCGTCATTTTATCAGATTGTATTGAAATATTGCAGTCGATTATCGATATGTCGACAAGATGACTAATTTCACTCCTTCGATTTGTTACAAGCGGATCAGGGGGGTTTATGTATGGTCCAGATTTTTCCCACTCAATCGACGCCTTTTTTTTTCGTGCGTATCCCGTATCTTTTTACGTATTTTATTTGAACTTTTTGCATTGCTGTCGTAGGGACCTAAGTAGGGCTCGTTTTTTGGTAGGACTATAGAATGATAGAATGGGTTGGTTCCCATCTTATCATAATCATACCTTTCATTGATTTTTTATTTATTTATATATTTATTTTTGTAAATGAAACATTTTTTATCACCTTATATCTTTATTATTTTTTAATTTACTTTCATCATTTTATGTTGTTATGTATGTTTAATATTTTAAAGTTTTTAATATTTTGAAGTTTTTTATATCGTTTGAATAAAAAATTGATTGTTTGAAAACTTTTTTATGTTTTAAAATTATAAATTAAAATTATGTTTTATTTTGTGGGATCTTAGAATTTCGATCCTGATCTTACAATTCTGATATTGCAAACCCAAAAATAATCCAACGTAGGATTACGATGTTGACAACCTTGCAAATTGTCTATTTATTTTATTAAAAAATATTCCCTTAAACTCTTTTTTATATATATTGAACTAGAATCTTATTTTTATACATATTGACTATTAGAATTCTTTTATTCTAATTTTTATTAAAAAATGACTATGCTTGGTATCAAACTTGAAACCTCAACCAAGGGAACTACCAATTGTACCATTAAGCCGGAACTACCAATTGTACCATTAAGCCAATATCCGTTTTCGATTTTTAATATTTTTTAATATAATACTCACTTCGTCCCAAAATTATTCTCTACAAACAAAATACATATAAATTTTGAAAACATTAATTACCACTGATTTTATTAAATGAAATGACAATTATATCATTTTTCATTTTATTACATCATTTTGTTGCATTTAATTCAATAATAGATTAACTAATAATAAGGGGTATTTTGGTAAATGTGATATTTGTTTTTAAAAATATATTATTATTTTGAGACAAACCAAAAAGGAAACATAATCTATTAATATGGGATGAATAAAGTATATTGTTAGAAGGTCTGTTAAACGTTATAGGAATAATAATAATAATAATGGAGACACGAATCGAACGTAGGTCTCTTTATAATTAGGGTCGGTCCAAGCCGATTTGAAACCCTAGACAAATTAATATATATATATATATATATATATATATATATATATATATATATATATATATATATATATATATATATATATGGCCTTTAATTTTTTATTATTTATTTATTTATTTATTTATTTATTTTTTTTTGTAAAAAGTAGTAAAAGAAAGTGCATGGTTTTTTTTTGTTTGTTTTTTTTTCTTTAATGATTATAAATTTATCCTTAAATCATTTTTGTAATTTCAGTTGTTTGGTTTTTTTGTTTTTGTTTTTTCCTTTTTTCAGTATCAGATAAATGTTTATTAAGCAAAATGTTATTATTTTAAACTTATAAAACAATTAGAATGAAATAAGTAAAGGAAATGAAAACCACCTCGTTCTTAATCGTTGTCTAGGACCCAACAACAAGGATTTCAAAACTTGTGATGTTGAAGTTTCATGTTATCAACAGGAATTTAAAAAAGAAAATGCTTAAATTAAAAAAAAATTATCAAAAAACTAACATGAAAGAATTAAAGAACAATAACGAAATCTTATAATTTACATGAATCATAAATCCGAACCAACGATTCTGCCTGAAAGCAGATTAACACGAATACAAGATCAATAGGATGCGTGAAATAAGATTATCAGAATCGAAGTATTGAGAAATATTGAAACATCCCAAAAACACAGTCTGGAAATTTCGTTTTAAATCGGTAATAAAACCATATTCATCAAACGTCATATAAGAATCATAAACTACGTATCTCAAAATATCATAACAACTGTCAAATATATCAGAGTATAAACACCCTAGGCTGAACAAATGGTGTGTGCACTGCAATCTTCCCGAGCTCCTCTTTTGAAAACTGAGTACCTGAAACCAAAACTAAAATTGTAAGCACGAAGCTTAGTGAGCTCCACCAACTACCACATACCATACAATAACATATAAAACACATACTGGGCCTTGCCCATTGCATCGAACCGAAGTCCGGAAACTGCATCGAACCGAAGTCCGAAACTAACTGGCACCTTGTCCCCTACATCGGACCGAAGTCCGGAACTAACTGCATCGGACCGAAATCCGGAACTGACTGGGACCTTGTCCCCTGTATCAGAGCGAAGTCTGGAACTAACTGCATCGGACCGAAGTCCGGAAACTGCATCGGACCGAAGTTCGGAACTACCCAGGGCCTTGCCCTCTGCATCGAACCAAAGTCCGGAACTGACTGAACATAGCATATCATAACATATCAACTAGCATGAATAGATATAATGCATACTACATCGGAATAGAGTCCGGGACACATAACACAAAACATGCTTGAATCACAAAGACATCAAGCACCCTAACTACTGCATCAGACTGAGGTCCGGAACTAACTGAACATAGCATAACATAATCATAACATATAATATAAACACATATACTACATACTGCATCGGACCATAGTCCGGAACACATAAATCATCCCGTGTATGTATCACAAAGACACCAAGCATACTAAACTACTACATTGGATTGTTGTCTGAAACTACTGCTAACTAAACGAGCCGGCATTGTGGCCATAGACCCGTTCCTACTGGAAGGAAACTCACCTCACACTGCTAAAGTCCTGTAAACACAATCTTATACTTCTGAAGTCCCGCAGACTCAACCCTAGCTGTTGGATGACAGATTCCCGAAGTATCAACACCAAAATAACACCCAATTAATAATTGGGTTCCAACTCATAACCATAAGTCCATACTTGGGTAAAAGACTACTTTACCCCTGTCTTAGCTTGACTCAGTCCCAAGGCCCAATCCAAAGGCCCAAAGTCCAACTATGGCTCAAAGCCCAACCTTTGGCCCAATTTTCCAAATTGGGCCCAAACCTTTATTTGGACTTCCCTTAAGGCCCAATTGTTCAATCCAGTCCAACATGTCTCATTCTAAGGGCCCAATATCATACAACCATCTAGGCCCAAACTATGGCCCATCTATGGCTAAATTTTCCAAATTGGGCCCAATCCTTTATATAGGCCTTACCCTAAAGCCCAACTAATTACTCTAGTCCATTTGATCATTCTTGGATGGCCCAACACAAAGCCCAAGTAAAACTAGGGTTTCACATAAAATGATGATTAGGGTTAAGTGTTTCTTACTTAACCCATTAAGGACTTAATCCATTAAGTCCTTTACTCTACTAGATCAATGATATGGAGAAATTGGGCTTACTACACAATCCAATCTCAATAGCCCGAAAGTGGGTCCAATAAGTCTAAGGCCCAATTACTCATAATTAGGGTTTTCTAAACCTTAATTAGGGTTTCCACTCAAACATGGCCCAATAGGCCCAAAATAAATCTTTAAGGCCATTAGGGTTTTGGCTAGGTCCATTAGGGTTTTGCTTGAGGGGCACCACCTACTACCACCCCGGGTAGTGGTGGTCAATGGCGGCTCACGGCGGTGGCCACCACCTTACGGTGGTGGTTACTATTATTATTTTCATTACTTTATGCTAACTACAATTACAAGGCTTTTATCCAAAATACACACACTAACTAACACACACACACACACAGCCACACCATGGTGGCCGGCGGCGGTGCTTAGTGGTAGCCACCACCTTACGGTGGTGGGGATGGTTGATCTTGATCTTTTTCTGGCTGCAAGACACTCAAACAAAATAACACAACCACGTACACTGAAATCTTTGCCCGAAATGGAAGCACATCCACCCACCGGTGGCGTTGGCAGCGACGAAACCTCCGGGGAGGCGGCAACAGCGCTAGAAAAGCAGCAGCAGCGTCGATTGCGATGCTAGCCACCACCCAATGGTGGTGGCGGTGGTCTTTCTTGTACCTCAACCGAGCAAACGAACAACAACCACAAAACGGCGGCAGCTGCAGTGCTTCCGGTAGCCGTAACGGCGGTTCTGACTCCTTACAAGAAGATACTCACGCCGACATTTCCTTCCAACCACAGTCATACGATGCGTCCCCCTGTGGTTCCATGAGCTCATCCACCCTCCACGGTGGCAGATAATCCTTCCTGGCGACTTAAGTTGACGACAAAATACACGACGTTGGGCTCCGATTCTCGGCCTCACCACACGTCGGAAATGGAAGCGGTGACAGCACCAAGGCAGCAGGGGCTCACATGGCGGCCACAACTGACCAGAAAATGTGCATGGCGGTCGGGATATGGCGATAGGGCGGCGGTGATGGGGTGCCAGCACCGAAGAATGGAGAAGGAGAGTGGTGGCAGCGCAAGTCGAAGAATGGGAAGGGAAATAGCGACCGATGCTTAGGGGTTGGCGGCTCCAACCTTTTCTTTAGGGTTAGGGTTCCCGTAAGAATATATACCCGATGCCTCTCCAATTCTTTTCCATAATACTAGGATCGACCCCTCCTTCCCTCTGTTATCTCAAAATGAGTCCATAATTTACCCATTTAACCCTGTCCTCGAAAATCCTTTTCAAATCAAGTCCCATAAATTACCAAACATACCCTTGCTTCTATAATTCTTCTCAAAACAACTCCGTAACTTACTAAACAACCCCCACTATCAAAATTCTTCACAATTCAGTCCGAGAATTACATTTACTAATTTATTTATTTGTTTATTGATTAAATGGGGTGTTACAACTCTCCCCCACTTAAATTATATTTCGTCCTCGAAATTATTCTTTACACGCTAACTACTCACACAACATGGCCATAATCTTGGGTACACCCTAGCCTTCTCCGGGTAGCTGTGACCAAACATCGCAAAGCCCTAACATCTGTAGGCAGACTAATCCCTCGCAACAAGTTCACATCTACTTC